CTGGGGAAGATCTAAGTAAATATTACCCACTGGTATCTGTGGTGACCTGATAGCACCCAACAGTTAGTCAGCCTGGGAGTGACTGCATGAGACATAATGACCTGGGGTATACAGACAGGGAGATTAAGTGATACAGCAGTCACCTGGAATTACATATTACGATTCTAAACCATCTCAACTCCTGTATTTGATAAAAGGAAGTCTCATAGTTCCATTTCCTTCTTATTATTCCCTTACACATCCTGCAAGTGTCCTTTTAGAATGATGGCATTCCAAGGTTGCCTTGGTCCTTACCTAGATCATTTTTGTTGTTGTTTTGTTTTAATTCACTGTGACATAACCATGATCACCTGCTGAAGCTGCAAAGGTAGCATTGTTCCTTGCTGTGCATTTTTATCTAGCCTTGCTCCAAAAAGGTTCTGTGAAAAGTGCTTCTATTATTTTTATTCAGAGATCACTCCATGTGCAAAAGCTTTCCTCATGGCATTCAAGGCTTTTTCTTCAAGCTGCAGGGCCAGTTACAGATAGAGAATATTTGTATTATCTGATGGACAGTGGCTTTCTAGTAAAAGAATTAAGGGGTAAATGTGGTGCAGTTCTTGCTGGCATCTAGCAGTCTTTTCTCACACATTTCATCATTCTCCATTTCTGATGTGTTAATGATCTCTTTATACGCAAGGAACAGATTGTCAAGTCTTGCCTTGCAGAAGTCAGTGGTGTTTTGGTGTTCACCAAAGTGAAGCATCGATTTCATCCAGCATGTGTAACGAGAGAGGGAGGTACCTCTCACATTTAAATGGCATTTCTAGATCCAGTGATTTTTATCATGATCCTTTTGATAATTGGTGCTTTTATGAAAGACTTTGGATGACTGAGATCTCTCATTTGAGAGAGAGGAATCTTGTCTGTCGTCATTCTTCTACAGTTTCACTTTGTTGCAGGCAAAAGCTTGAAGACGTAACAGATGCGCACTTTGGAAGCTCAGAGAGGAAATAAAATTGCATTTTCTTACTTTCCAGTCTTGTGATATGTTGCTTACTTTTTCTGAATGTGTGGGATTTACACTTCTGGCTTACATATTTGCCTGTTTTATAGCAGCATCCAGTTATGGATCTCCAAGGTCTAACTTCTTTGCAGTGAAGTAGGAATTCGAGCAGCCCTACAACTGTGGAAAGTATTATCACCCTACATTACATTGAGACTTCTGAGCTACAGAGAGATTAGTTATAAGAGCAAGCCTGAGTAAGACATGCAAAATATCAACTTTCTTTTCTTCAACTTCTTCACCAGTTATTCATCATGTTGTTGTTACATGAGTTGTACAAATGAGTACTTCTCATTATTAAGCGCAGATATAGGTACCTGTCCCTCTATTATAAGCTATGTAGCCAGTATTGACAGAGGAAGTATTGTTACACACATGGGTTTGTCAGAAGCTTAGCATCTCCAAAGTGGATTTTAAAGCACTTTAGCCTGACACTGCTAAATGTATGGTAGAATCTGATCCCAGATTCTCCCTGTGTTTTATCAGCACATGGGCCTTCCCCGTCCTCCTACCTGATAGCAGTTTCTTCCTTGGCACTGCTAGCATGGTAATCAGGTTTGCATAAAATAAATCAATGCAGCACCTGTCACAGCATTAGGAAGCCAGTTCAGTGTGTAGGATACTACCTCATTTGGCTGTTTTGCTTGTCCCCACCCCCCCCAGCTTAGAAAGATTTATGTTTACAGTCTCCACAGACATTTGTCACATTCAGGTTATAATGGCTGACATGAATGACTAAACAGCTCTAACTGTGTGCCACGGATATGTTTTAGGGAGCTGCATTAGCTGTGCTTTACATTTCAGTTTGGATATGGGCAGTAATTGTTGACTAGGATCTCAATTACACTAAATACAGCAATAAAAGTTCTGAACCCCTGGTTCTCCATGGTTTGTATAATTAACATTTGGTGTACTTTTGTCAAATTAATCCTGATAGCTAGTGATAACTGAATTTACTACTGCATAGTACCTTCTTGTTGACAGATTGAAGTTTCAAAATAATTTATTTTTCCAGATTAAAAGATCTGCATACAGTGACAGATCCAGTTTAGCAGCAGTAAGACAGACTGTGCGCATATGGAAGCATGTGAGGATAGCAGATGGTATAGAAATGAAGAATATTTTTGATTATTAGGACATATGTTATTTTAAAGAAGTTGTGAAAATGTGTTGTGAAAAAGGTTTGCAGTCTGGCTGTGCAAAAGAATTCATCACTCCTTTTGGACCTAAGCTGAGTAAATATCTGAAGAGTGCAGCATTTTTGAATGTGAGCTCTTCTGAAAACCTGTCTGTAATAAGAGAGATACCACAAAAACCGGTGGAACCTGGAGAGCTGCATTGTAGTGCTTTTACTTGTAAGAAAGTTTTAGATGCTGGGAAGGAGTCGGAAGTTTTGAACATTCCAACTTGCCCAGTCTAGTTGATTTTCCTTTCTTTTAAAATGAGGGGAAAATTAAAATGAAGCAAAAGTTCTACTTGTTTGGATTGATACTGAACTTTGTTACAGATTTGATTTATAGAGCTTTCAATGTATCTTAAGGCACGCTTAATCTAGTTGTGGAATGGACATTCTAAGTCCCAGCTATCTTGAGTGCACCTGAAGTCTTCATTTGGCATCAGTGGAAATCTCTTAGTCTTCTTAATGGGGCTATAAGCAATATTGTCCTAATATAAGGTGGTGTGCATGGTTGGTTGGTTGTGTGGTTTTTGTTGTTGTTGTATTTTCTTTTTTTAAAAGCAACCTCTTATTGCATCTTCATGGTAAACACTTGACTCATCATATAACCTCTGTGCTGTTATCTAGTGGAGCATGTGAATGCATATATAACCCCAGGGAGATCATTGAGAAACTAGGCAAGAGAATTAAATGAAAGTTTCTGGCTGAGGACCCTTTAAAAGTCGTCTTTTCTGAGAGTACGTTTTCCACATTTTCAGGAAGTCTCCAGTCCTCTTCTGAACTCTGTGTTGTTCTGTTTGAAAATCATATTCGGGTGATCCTAGCTCTTTTCCTCCCTGGTATATAAAAAGTTCACATGAGAATATGACCCCAGGTTAAAAAATAGTATACAACCCAATATACTAAAATACACCACCCAAGCTGAGCCTTAAAGATATTTCACAGTATCTCATGTCTTGCCACCATTCCTCTCTGTGTTTTATCATAATATAGCTTTGTAAGACACTTGCTTCAAGGTCCTCATCTTGAAGTCAGGTTAATGGGGTTTTTCCACACTTTAATGGTTTCTCCAAATTATGCTGTAGTCTTGAAAAGCCTGGATACCGACGGTGATCTGAGAGTGTAGGGCCCAACCTTAATGTTCGTTCCTTAAAGAAGGATTTTTTCCAACTTCAGTAATGCAGATGTGTAGCTCAGATTCTGCTACGTACACCTGTGTTCCATTGAAATCAGTTGGAGGTTGACACTTAAATATCTAGGGGGATCAGTATCTAAGCCCACAGCTGTATACTCTATGACCAAATTGCGTTTAGGCTGCCTTACTGTAATCTAATACTTGTTAACAAATTCTTAGCAAGATCTCAGACGGTAGTTACTAGGAGTTGAGTGGGATTTTTACTTGAAGTAATGAAAGTTCTAGTATCTCAGATAATGGATATTAAACCAGTCTGTGCACTCTGCAGCATCTAACAAGATCAAATGCTTTCAATAAATCTCCTAAGGGCATTAATGTTGTTGTCTGATGTTCTTAGTTGGGATGAGCATAAACAGATGCATGGTAAGCAGCAGACAAGTTCCAAGAAACTTTTTGTTGATTTATCTTGATCAAATGCTTCCTGTATTTTAAATAATATACTTTTTTCCACCCTATAAATAAATTTCTAATAATCTGTGGTGAAGCTGTGTAATAAATAAGGCAATTCAAACCATCATTTTGCTCCATACTTCCTGTGTACAGAAAGCAGAGACAAACTAAGTTATTACATGTATACACTCTGCCTCTTTCCTTTTCTGTTTTGTTCTGTTGTTTTTATAAGTATACTTAATATAAGTATATACTTAATATATTTTAAGTATAAAATGTTCTTCAGTATCTCTTCAATCTTTCTGTTTCTAAAAAATCCAAAAATTGCTTGGATTGAGTTCATAAGAATTTTTGATTATGTTTATAATGGCACATTACAGATTTTTTCTTTATTTTTTTTTAAATTTTTGGCCAATCTAGTAGTTGAGTATCTGTCTAGAATCAACTAAATCTTTTTCATGGAGTTTGTGTTGGTAAATTTCACTCTATTGCTTGTATATGCTGCTTCTTGGAAGCTACAGTTTTTAGTTGAAGTAATAGTGTCTATGAAGCAGTTTCTTCTTGCTTTAGTTCCTGCAAGCCAAAAATCACATAGTTCCTCATGATTTTTTGCATGCCCCCTGCCACAAAACAACAACAAAAAAAACAACCACCAAAAAAAATTCTTGGCTGATTTTTCTGGAATTATATTGGCAAACACTATGGGAAAAGTTGGTGCTTTTCCCAGAAGGAAAATATCCTTACAGAAGTTTCAGAGTATAATGCAGGTGTAAAGTTCTAGGATTATACTTACTTTATGTAATACTTTTACAGTACGTTATCAGAACGTGATGTTTTCTGCAGCATGCAGAAAAAAAATAGAGTATTAAGCATTTTATGCAACCTCAATCTCTACGCTACTGTGTGGAGTCTTCTGTTTATCACCTTCACAGTGGGTGGTGATATCTAACACATCTGGAAGAGCCCTGCTACATGCATGGGGTCTGTGAGGACAAGTATGTGAAGATTGGTACAAGTCCTGCATTGCCAGTGCTCGGTTTCCAGGTTTGGCTCTTAGGGTTAAATAGTTATTCCCTTCTTGTATTGTCACTAGCACAAGGAAGGACCTGTTCTTGGTAGGCGGTTCTGGATATTCTTCCACCTTTTTCTGCTATTTGAAATTTAGCTGTCATGTCTCTTGTCTGTTCTGACAGAGTGTAGACCTGGATGACCACCACAAACCTGAGTTTAGAAGAGTTTTTAGTTCTTCCATCATTGAAAATGGGCATCAGTCTTCATCAGGTAGGAACAGGGCATGAGATGAAGTAGTACTATTTGTAAAATACCTGATCCTGGCAGTCATAGAGCAGCTCTCACATGTTGGAAGCATTAGAATCTGCTATGGTTTTGGCATGGATAACATACTGTGGCACTGATACCGTTTACTTACTAATTTAATTAGGAGTTCAACTTTTAAACTTTATAGTTAAGCATGCACTATGGTGTTTTATAAATTAAAAACTCTTACTGTCATTTTATCTTGGGGCACTAGTGATAATAAAGCCTGCTATTCTTGGTGATATTGTAGCCTTGCATCCCAAAACATTTTGCAGATTACCTGTCTGCTTCCATCATTCAGTGGAGGAAGGACTTCCTGTCTCCATTTTAGAAAAAACTGAGGCATGCAGCATTTCATAAAACTGAAAAGAATGCTGACTCCTAACCATGGCGGGAGATTGGAGGCAGGGGCTGCACAGAGGAAGAGGAGGAGCTTACCAAATGCAGATGCTAGTGGATATAGTGCTCTGAAGAAGTTCTTGCTGAGATTTATGTAGAACAGGTGTGATCACTGCAAGGATCACTTACACTAGGGTTTTTTCTGCAGCGTCTTGTAAATGGCATTATGTCCCACAGGGAGAACTAGGTGGAATAATTCCAATGACTTGTAAAATAAAGTTGTTGCATGGAAATTGGTTTTTAACTTTGTTAGAAATCTGCAAATAAATTTACTTCCTCCCTCCTCTTTTGTTCACTAGTTCAGGAAAAAGTCTTCCATGAACACTCTTCTGTTAACATGTCAGACTCTTCCCCTGAAGCCCATGCCCCTGCAGTCACCTTACAGATGCCCCACCTTCCCGTTACTGCAGTAACCAGGATATCAGAGAAATTTCCAGGAGAGACCACAGGAACAACTAATACATCTGCTGGCCTGCTGGGACAGAGCAAGAGCAAAAATGCAATGGCAGTGAAAACTTCCAACCAGTCAGGTAAAAGAGACAAAAATAATTTGTTTGCTGAGGCTGTGTCCCATTTCTTTACTTAAAGAAACTGGTGCTGTGGGGATTGTCCTGTGACCTAGTGCTAATGAAACCTCACTTCTATGGCTATATGGTGGGACACATATTTAGAATACTGCATGTCCTATGTGGAACTTTAGGCTGTAATGTCACATTTACTGAGAATTTTTGCTGGCTAATATAGTTGAGTTCATAGTGCAGCAGTTCTAGCACAGTTACTGAATAAGTATCTCTTCAATGTGACCAGCCATTTTAATGAAATTTGCAGAGTTTTTAATGCTTTAACACCTGAGGCCCCTTGAGAAGTTAGGCAGATATTTGTCTGAGTTCAACGTCATTTGAAGGGAGGAATGACCCAATAGCAGACTGACACATATACACAAGTCAGAGTGATTGCAGAGTCCTATTTATATCTAAATTGAGTTTTTTAAAAAAATAAAATCTCATTTAATCCATATTAAAGTTATTCATCTTTGAGCTGTATTTCTTGTACATTTAGTGATAGTGACACTTACAGATCAGGCTATATAAATATGGGTCAGAAGTTACAGAGCGGGACCAGATGGAATTGCCATCAAGAAATAGGGAGAATTTGCAGAATATTCTTCAAATTTTTATCTTATCAAAGCTAATAATGTAGCAAAGCCTTCCTTGGTCTTTTCTGCTGTTTCAGTGAAGTCCTGGAATACAAGTACAGTGAGAACAGTGGCTCATCTGCCACTGGAGGTGAGCATTCCTATCAATGTACCTTTACACAACACAAATTGAGACAAAATGCTCCATATCTGGGGGATTCAGAACTGAGCGTGTAGTTCCCATTAGTAGGTACGTCGCAATCTTAAAACTACTGACAAAACTGCATGAAGTTTCCCAGGCATCATTGAAACTTGTTCCAATGTATCAGATTCTCAGTTGATTCAAAGCAAAGGCTACTTATTTGCCCAGCAGTATACATGTGTATAAACAGTCTCTGCAGTGGAAACAGTAGGTGCCAGATAATTGTGGAAGAACAGACAGTTTGAGTGGTGAAGGTTTCAGCTGACTGAGTGAACTGACCAAGTGAAGACTGTGTCTGAATGCAAGGCAATGGCAATTGGAAAGTGGTGGGGCCACCCTGTGGATGTTGAAGCAAATTCCTTTGAACAGAATAGCAGTAAATAGTCTCCTTGATACATTAATGTGTCAAAGGACAAAATGCCTTAAGGATTTTCGATTTCAGATGAGTTGAGCTCTATCCAAAAGTACTTCTGATTGATGTCATCAAGTTGTTACTAGCTACACAATGTACTGGCCTTTCACAGTGGTCTCAAGTGTCAGTTTAGCAAAGATGTAGTTCTTCCAGAATTAGGGTTCACACTCCTCAACTTAAAACCTCTGAGATTTGCATAAATATCTGGCAATTGCTTGTGGTCCCAAATTTGTCACATCTGTATGCTGGCATTTACAAGGGTGTTTTACGTGAGAAGTCTATTTGATCTGTATCCCTTCTATAAGCAGTGGGGAAAGTTTAGCATTTTTCAGAGAGTAATTTGGACAGTGACCAGGTTGGGTTGCTTCTAAGATGCCAGTCATTCTTCTTTGTGTATAGAAGGAGCCTTCAATAAATGAGTTGATGACTTGTGCAACAGCTTTTGGCTTTAGTGTGTTAAAACTGGGCAAGTTACTCCCATTATTCTGCATTTACAGAGAATAGCTGAGAGTGCAGAGCTGGGCTCTTAAGAGGCCAAGCACAAAAGGTGGGGAGAGGAAGATGCAGAGGTGGTTTTAAGCTGCTTTTGCAACCTTTGGAGTGTGTTCTACTGTACAAACTAAAATGTTTCCTGTTATAAACTAGATAATTTAAATTACACTCCCAATTGCGGCAGACTTCTCAGAACTCTTTATGTCTGCCAGAATGACTGTTGCAAGATGAGCTGTAGCACCATTTCTTCCTTTCACTGAAATGTCCATGACAGTGCACCCTCCTCTGAGGTCTGCACAAGGGCCTGAAATGATCTGACCTTCCCAGTGCAGTCTTATCAAAGACATCCTCTCACAGCCTTTCTGCTATGCTTACACCATCCTTGCTGCAGTGCAACAATTTTGCGGTGGGATTGGACCCCTGGGGAAAATCGCTCCCCCAGCTTGTTAGCTCATACTGGAAGTTAGAGATCTATAGCTTTTCACTGTGGTGAGTAAAAATCAGTGCATGGCTATCTATCAGGAAATGGCTTGAAAATGTATGAGGAAAGGAGATAAAAGAAGTTTCTGCCCTGATGCATCTTTTTTTCCTGCTTTCATACAGAGAATACCACTTCTGTCACTAAGTCTGTCTCAACTGTGAGCTATGGGATGAGTAGTGGAACCAAAACTAGCGAAAGGTATGCATTTTTCTTCACATTTTGTTAGGCCATTGTGGTCAGTACAGTCTCAAGGGACAGGTGTTCTGCTGGCTTGGAGAACAGCAGAGTCCCAGTTGCTGTATTTTAAGCCCGTTAAAGACTGTTAGCTTTCCTGAGAGCTAAGTGGAACAGAGATGGGAAGGGATAAAAATCTTTTGTGGGCATTTTAAAGCTGACATAACTGCGGATTTCAGCATTGTTCAGTGTTAGTAAGTAAAACTCAGTGCCAGTGATGGATTTTTGTTAGGAGGAGCAAGTTGTCAGACCCTTTGAAAACTCTTTTAAAAATACACAGCTGTGTTAAAATTTGTATTTTGGGCTTATTTTTGGAAACCAACATGCAACTGCCATCAAATATCCTCAGGTTGGCTAGCCTGGAGTTTACTTTGTAGATAAATGGCTTGCTGAGGACTGAGGACTACTACACATCCTTCATTAACTTGGAGTCGCAGTTGCTTAGTATAGGATTACATGGTATCACAATTACTATGGGCATATCCAGGCATCCTCAGCATGCAAAATGTCCATCAAGAAAAATGGGAGGGCAGACAGTTTAAATCTCTTAAATTGGGCTTGCATCTGCCTTAAAAATTGTCCCAGATTAGGCATTATATTTCTTCTGAGTTAGTTCCAATATCAGCATGTCAGTATTTGAGTCATCATACACTGAGCACCCTAGAGAACTGCCTGTCAGATCTGACCTCCATCTGTACCAGAAATCAATGTGTGACACTGATGTCATTGCTCTTTGCCTCAGTTTCCTCATCTCTGTTATGGGGACCATTTCCAAATGCAGTGTGTGGCTACATTAATGCTGATGAAATGGTTTATGGCTCAGATAAAAACAAATTAACATATAATCCTGTATTTCTTGATCAAATTACCAGCTTGTGGTCAGTGAAGCAACACTGACATGGGCTCAGGATCCTGGGTACTGTAAGTAAAAATTTCAAAAGTACTTCCTGAATTACTCTTCCAAGTTCCATTTCTAAAAGGTGACTTACCCTCCAGGTACCCCAAAGTTGGAAATTAAATGGGTTTAGTGCTCCTGTGTGGCCATGACTTCGTTCCCCGTTCCCCCTCTTCTTTTTCTTTTCCCCGTTCCCCCTCTTCTTTTTCTTTTCCCCGTTCCCCCTCTTCTTTTTCCTTTCCCCTTTCCCCCTCTTCTTTTTTCCTTTCCCCCCTCTTCCTTTTTCCTTTCCATTTCATTGTTGTTCTACTCAGTGCTATAAATCATTTATGCTTGTCCAGCTGTGTCTCATTCATAAAGGTATCTTAGATTCCTCTCTACTTAAGTGCTGTTTTCTATCAATAAAACTTTGACTTCAATTGCTTTTGACTTATTGAGGTCCTCTTGAAACAGCACTTTTGTGAGGTTTAGCATACTCAACAGCTGGACCTTTATGCTGACTCCTGACACTGCAAGGAGTTACGTTTTTCTTTAACCGCATACTTCTCATGTTATGTTTCTCTAGTGCCACTGACAGTTACTGTGATGTGACCCCCAGCTCTCACTCCTCACCTACCACTGTACATCGCCAAGTTGAAAGGAGGCGAGAACTGGTGAGGTCTCAGACGCTCCCACGGACCTCAGGAACACAGGCCAGGAAAGCACTTCTTGAGAAATATGAACACAGTGGTGGAAAGTATGTCACACTCCTTGTCGCCAGAATGGGTTTGTTAATGGGAAACTAATTTGTCAGTTGTTACCAGCACAGGACAGCTGGGTGGGAGGAATCTTCACGCTAAGGGACAGTATGAGGTCATGGACAGCTTTGCTGACTTCACAGACTGAGCCCTGGAAATTCACAGCTGCAGATTCCCTCTGACTCTAGAGTTGTTCAGCTGAAGTAGCAGGTGCCTTTTATCCGGAAAGAGTGCTGTGAAAGCTGCTTTCTCCATCATCGTAAGAGACTGGGAATCTAGCGACTTTCTGCTGTTATTCATTAAGGGCCAAAAGCATGTACTGTTCTTTATGATGGGGGTATGATTTAAATAGAAGAGGTCTTGGAATCCTAGCTTTAGTGAAATGAAAATTAAGTTTTTCTTGAACAACCAATAAGTTGAAGTTTCAGCAGTGTGTTTCTCAAATACCACCTGAACAGGGGCTGACCTGCGCAAGGTTGCAGAGATGTTGCTGAGAAGTTTTTCTAGAATGTAATTTATTTTGGTCTCTGTTAATTTTTCAGAGGAAAAGGAGAATCTAGAGTGAAGCTGAAGAGGTCGCAGAGTTTTGCAGTTGCCAGCGCTAGCAGCATTAAACAAATTCTGTTAGACTGGTGTCGCTCAAAAACCATAGGATACAAGGTGAAGACATGCAAGCTTTCAGCTCTTTTTCAGATCAATTTGCCAAAAAAGCGTACTCAAAAAGTGAACGTAAAACATGCTAGACTATGAGTTAACTTCCTCAGGGTCATCAAGTTTTGTGTGGGTAACACAAACATTATTGTTTGCATGAGCAGCACTTCAAGACATTCAGAAATCGCATGAGTGAGATTCTGTATGTCAAAGCAGTGCATTAGTGTTTGTCTGAAAGCCTACGTTTTTGTGCTTATGGGTATAGACTTCAGTATACGCTCGCACTTTTTTGTCTTAGTTGCAGGCGTGATTTTGGCATTCTCATTATATTTGGGAAGATCTGAATAACATTTTGCCAATATGTGAAGACTATGGCCCTTTTGCTACACAGCAGACCAAAGTACTCTCTACACAAGTGAATTTGTAGTAGATGGTTGAATCATGTGGTGTTAGTGAACTAATTTCTATGAGGTAACATCAGCATAGCTAAAATAATTCAGCAGTTGAGATTTTAGTAGTTTTATCTGGCCTTAAACTGCAATTGCTACAGCAATTTCTAGGAGAATTTTTTTTTAAATGTTTTTCAACATTATTATAAAATGTGCATTATTATTGCTGAACTCTAAATTACAGTATATATAAGCAGAACTAGTGAAAATTGCTTTTCAGAAAATATGGGGCTTGAATTTTATATGATGGGAAAGTAGCGTGAGACAAGAGCCCAAATATGCTTGTTTTCACTGTGGCAGTTGAAAGTAACAGTATGCATTTGTTCTCAGAATCAAGTTTTGTGGTAGGTGTAATTCTTCCTATATTTCTACCTATCTGTGTTTAAACAGGCATTGAATTAGGCCTTACTGGGAAGCAAAGCCAGCAAGTATAGTCTTTATCTAGCATTACTGACAGTCACAAAATGAACTGTTCTTCACTTATAAATACTTCATGGGGATAAGCGGTGTCCATGGTTTCCACAGATACTGAGGTGGTGCATTGGGCCTCCTCCAGAGCCAACTGATGTTGACAAAAATTCTTCCCAGTATTTTCAGTGGGCTTTGGATCAGGGACCGTGAATGTGTGTCTGCTTTGCATCTGGGCATTTCAGGCAAAAGGCTTTCGTTGCTGAGAGTGCTGGTTTTTTCTCAGAATATAAATAATGTAACAGATAAAGAGGGGAAGAAAACCATAGAGCCTGTGCTCTGTTGCTTTGGTTAGGTGGGAGAGAAGGACAGAAATCTGCAGTGAACAAAAGCACCTGCTCTTCCCTGTTCCCCTATGCTGCGTTAACATGCATGTTTTTTTCATCATGACAGCACATTGATCTCCAGAACTTCTCCTCAAGTTGGAGTGATGGGATGGCATTCTGTGCTCTTGTGCATTCTTTCTTTCCTGAAGCTTTTGATTATAGTAAGCTTGACCCAGCTAATCGCAAGCGGAACTTTGAGCTGGCCTTCACCATGGCAGAGTGAGTATGACATTAGATCTTTGAAGTGCTTCCAGTTCAAGTCTAACATGGCTGGGCAGTAGTAAAGAATTCAGTCATTCTTCATGTGTCATGCCAAAAAAGATAATAAAGCTCCTGCATAGAACAGGAGATTCAGCAGTCTAAAATCAGAGGTCACAGTCTTTAGGCAATACTTGAATTCTGCCTTCTCACCAGCCTTAGCACTGACACACTAAACTTGAGAAATCAGCCTCATGAGTTACGTTTGGATGGAAGAGGAAGAAACCTCTCTGTTCATTTTTTATTATTATTATTTTGTTCTCAAAGTAATGAACGATTCTTAATGAATTTGCCAATATCAGTCTTAAAAAAAAAATTGAGTTCATAGAGCACAAGGCATCCAGTATTTACTGACAGTCCATAGAAACTGGACATACAACTTGTAGTTTCTTAGCCAATCCCACCTGGTTGATACCTGATTTGAATTTGAGGCATGTTAATATATCCATCTAGCCTCTCTGGAAAAATCATGACCCCTGAACAGCAGGGAGCAAGTAGGTTAACTTTTGGAATTAGGTTTTGTGGGAGGGTTCACCTCTGTACGTTGCTTTGGTTGAACAACAATGAAGGTTGAGTTCAGTGTAAGTAGATTTAGACCAAGGCTGAGAGCTTCTCGATACCTCAGCCTGGAAACTGCATTTTTGTAAAATGGACAGAGCTAATACCCTTAATCACACTGTCCTGATCCTTTTTGATGCAGTATACTTCTTTAAGTCATTATGAGTGTGAACTTGTCATCTAGAAATAGTAACTTTTTTGACCCAGTATCGATATGATTCTTACTTACTGTTATACAACTCAAAGCAGCAAGAACACTGGTGATATGCAGCTGAGTTTAAAATACTCTTTCCAAACACTAACAGGATGTGGGAATACATGGCTAAAGTTTCCTGCAGTTTCTGATGGAGCTTCAAACACTGATACCATCACACTGAAGCTCTGGGTTTCTTTCACAACACCTTTTATTTATTTATTTTTAATAAATAAAGCAATAAATTACAGAACTGGGTCTGCCGTTTGTCATTCCAGAGAAAAGCTCTGAAAACGCTTAGCATAATGTTAGCTCTCCTTATTACACCCCTTACTCAAGGAATTCATTTGGGAATTTAAGGTCTTTATACACACACATACATACATATATATAAAAAATTTTGTTGCTTGTCTGTGAGTTGAAGGAGATTCTATGACACTTTTAGGTGATTGATCTCTAAAGTAAAATTACAACTCTCAAAGGAAGGTCGCAGTGTTCTTCTATCTCAGTTTATGTATGACAGTAAAAGGGAGAACAAAAGACAGCATGCACACAACAGTAAGAAAAACATCAGGTATCTACAGAAATTACTACTTCATAGCGGTGATTGTCTTTAAACTAACTTTTCTTCTGGTGCCAGAAAAGGCTCTTCTCTCAGTTACTGTTACTCACCTGTGATGGTTTGACTGGCTAAATGCCAGGTATCCACCAAGTCGCTCTATCACTTCCCCCTGCCCTTTTCCCCTTGTTTTCTCAATAGGGTAAAGAGGGGAAAGAAGATAAACTAACCCTTGTGGGTGAAACAAAAGCAGTTTTAATATAAGCAAGGCAAAGCAAAAGTCCACGCGCGGAAGCAAAAGCAAACAGATTTAGTCTCTACTTCCCATGGACAGGCGATGTCGGGCCTTCTCAGGAAGCAGGGCTCCAATACACGTAGTGGTTGCCTCGGAGGACCAAGGGTGACCCCACCCCCTTCCTCCTTTCTCCCAGCTTTATACTGAGCAAACGTCATATGGTATGGAATATCCCTTTGGTCGGTTTGGGTCAGCTGTCCTGGCTGTGTCCCCTCCCAAGATCTTGCCCACCCCGTCCCACTGGGGGAAATATCAGAAAGAGCCTTGGTGCTGTGTAAGCATTGCTCAGCAGTAGCCACAACACCAGGGTGCTATCAACACCCTGCCAGCTCCCGACATAAAACACAGCACCATGAGGGCTGCTGTAGGGGAAAACCAATTCCAGTTCAGCCAGACCCAGTACATCACCTCAGTACCAGCTCTGCTGATCAAATTGCTTCTTGCCCTTGTGATTGTGATTTTTCATCTTACGCCTCAGCAGCTCTGTTCTTTCTGCTGGTCCAGATGTCAGGCTTCCGCTCTCCAGCCTGACCATTCAATGTCATTGTCCAGGTCGCTCACACCTTGAAGATATGGGCATGGTGGAGAACAAACAATCCACAGCCACATGGGCCTTCATCAGCACATCTCATCCCTTCTCATGATTTCCCATTCTTTTGGAGCTTCCTATATAATAACCAGAAAAACTCTTGATTTGCAAACTCACATGACCCTGCTTACTGGGCAGAGGAATGTGAGACTGGGCTATATGCTACAGATATCAGGGAAGTAAACAGCGGTCAGTGGAAAACAAACAACCATCCAAACAATTCTACAGGGATTCGGATCAGATCCCAGTATGGAGAAAGAGGGAAAGAACAGGAATATTACATGGTCACAAAAATAACAGTCTCTAACCTGAGCCTGACCATTTCATTGTGAAATGAAAAGTTGCTGATAAACCTCAGGATTTCTTAAATGCCTGAGTGATTCTCAAATCAGAGCAGCAAATGAATCCTAGAATTAGTTACAGGCATTAGATTTAATGTGCTGTATCTGTTTTATTACTACCACAGGAAAATGGCTCATTGCGATCGTCTGATAGAAGTGGATGACATGATGATGATGGGTCACAAGCCAGATCCCATGTGTGTCTTCACCTATGTCCAGTCTCTATACAATCATCTACGACGCTTTGAATAAAACCATTGACACCTCTCCAGCCGGAAGGGCCAAGTACAGCATGCTGATTGCAAGAGTGACATTTTGCAAATGGAACACAGTGTTATTTCTTGCTTTTTTTACTGTCCCTTTGCTTACATGGCTGGCTGACTGAAGTGTTGCTGAGCAGCGCCCCAAAGTGTTGATCACATCAGCATGTTGGTAATACAGAAAAATGTTTGAAAGGGACAAACATAGGGAAAGTCAAATGCTGTCATTCTGGTGCTAGTAGTAGGTTGGAATTTTTAATATTCTTGTGTTTAAAGATCACAGGAAGCTAATTTGCTGCTCCTATCTCTATTAGGCTGGGGACACAGTTTTATGCAGTGACAGGTAACTGCTATGAAGGTGTTCCCTCTTCAAATGCAGGTAAAACTCGAGAAGATAGCACCTTCAGTTCATTTCTCTGTTGAGCATAGCACAAAATAGTAGATGGACAAGGAAAATTCCATTTAGCAAATAATAACCTAGAGTAATCAACCACTAAGGCAATATTGCTTCTCCCCCAGCCCTACACCCTCCAGCATACATGCACGTGCACACACACACACCAAACAGGCATTGTTCTTTTCTCTTAAAGCATAAAGAGCATAGCCTCTTACCTGCTGACTAGAACAACAGATAACTACCATGTTACACAACAGTGTTTGTCTGTAATGGTCATATCTAAAGCGATTTGCTAAAGCCTCTGCTGGCAGTCTTGAATTAATTTCTTGATCCTGAAGAATAGCAACAGCTGGAGCTGTTCCTGTGTGAGATTGTGTATTTGCATGATTTAGGATTATGGGAAGGGGAGTAGCTAGCAAGGTACAAAATCCTCTGAACAGTTGTAATATAATCAAGACTGTGTGCTTTGATCTGGACTTGGGGACAGCAACTCCCCAGTGGGGACAGGAATGAAGTCTTTACGACTTGCTTAGTCCTCACACTAACTGAGGTGGACAGGCAATATGCCAAAGAAGTACAAAAGATGTGGGAGTTCTGAAATGCCTTGGACTACTTTCCATTTTAAGTTAAATTAGTGTTAAAACCACAATATAGTGGGATTATTCTAGTAAATTTCTCTTTGGTAAATCAACGGAGCTTTGTTTTCACAGTGAATGTTAAAACCACTGAAAAAGCATACTTTAGGAAAAAACCCTACCTTTTGAAATTATTTCTTCCTTATGAGCAGGCCCATAGAAAGACAAAAGTGAAAGCCATGAGCTCTTTGTGCATGCTAGAGAAGGTTTTTTTAACCTGCATTTGTGCTTTTTGTAGATATTTATAAAGATGACTTTAGTTCTGCATTCATGACCATTTATAATAAAACATGTCAAACGCTCTTCAGATTTATTGCTTTTCTTTAGAATGAAGTGACAGATAACAGTAAAATCAGTGAGAAGAACACAGAGCTTTTGCTTAGAAGAGTTTTGATCTAGTCATAATGCTGTGCTCTGAATTTCAGTTTAAAAAAATATAGTTTGGTGGCATTTGGAATAGGATTTTAGTTCAGCCTCCCTTTCAAGTGAAGATTATTTAAGAAGCCAGTAAAGCAACCACTTTGTTAGTAGTCTCAGAAAAAAAAAAAACCAAACCAACAACCCACCAAAAATGTATGAAAGGTAAAGTATAAGGTAACTGCTGAAGCTCCAGATCAGGTTCTTTTTGAAGTGTAGCTAGGCTGTTACTATGATACTATGGAAACAGTTTGAAAGACTTTTAAATACACAGTACAAGTATCTGAAGGGTACTTGTTCAAACTAGCAGCATCTTTGGTATTGGTAATATCACAGCTTTAATGCAAGCGGGTAGAGGTTGGGTGTGCTGTTCGTATTTGTCATGTGACTGTCACTGTCTTCAGTTTTTGACTTTGTCTTGAATGACAATTCTGAGGAGTAAGTGTGCACTTGTGTCCCGATCCGATGTTGGGGAGGGTTCTTAAACAATCCCAAGAGCGAGATTAAGACACAAACGAGGTCAGATGCTGCATAACCTTATTGTGCAAGTTTTAATTCTTTCCGGGATGAGAGAGCACGTGGCTGTTGCCCCTCCCCCACCCGCGTGGGTCGGGCTGGAAGTTAGACACAGACCCCGGCTAAAATAACAAGAAATTTAATACAACAGAGTGATAGAACAATCTGAATAACAACAGTATCAATGGTAACAACAATAAACAGCAATAACAGTGAACAAGACAAACGATAGACAGAGAAATACTGCTAGCTGGTTTACAGAAAGCCAAATTTCCCTCCTGAACCCACCAAGGAGCAAGAAAAAGGTTCCGCCCCCGGACCTGACGTCAGCATGGTATGAATAACCCAGCTGGAGATCCCTTCCCCCCCCTCTCTCTCTGCTGGGGAAAACTTTACTCTGTCCTGGCTGAACCAGGACACTTACAAACTTCTATTTTCTATAACAACTAATAAGAGTGATAGGACAGAGAGGAAAAGAAAGGAAAAGGTTGGAATCCCTAAGCAAGAACACGGTAGAGGCTCAACTAATTACCGCCACCACGACCGGGGATCCCGCGATGTTCTGTCGGTCCGATGATGCTCCACGTTCCTGGCTCTGAGTTGGTTCCCCTCTGCGAGTTGTTGGTTCCCCTCTTCGAGTTGTTGGTTCCCCTCTTCGAAGGAGTACGCAGTCTGTCTTTTTTATAGTCCCCATCCCCACAGTTTGTCCGCCCATTTCCACGGGGCTCATTGTTGTAGGTGCCACCCCGTGGTCCTCCATGCGCACATGCCTGGGTGTCCATGGTGGTCGTGCTGGTGAGGGGCCGATCTGTCTCGCTGTGGTTTCCCTTCCACCTGGCTCATGCGTAGGTGCAGCTTGATGGGGGACTGCTGATGTTCTTGTCTAGGGCGGATGTGGTTTTCGTTGGGGACTATGTGTTTCCTTCAAGATGTGCTCTTTTATGCTGAGTCAGGAAGTGGTCGTGGAGACAGCGATGTTGAGACTACTAAAAGTCCCAAAAGTTCCTTACATCTTGTTGCTTCGCCAAATTCACTGTGAATATAATCACACCGTACTTGTGTTTTGGAGAGGTGGTTAGTGTAAGCATGATGAGAAATGTGTCCACAACTGACACACGCAATACATGTATTTGTATTCTTACTAGCAGAGCCAAGTTCCATCATAGCTACGAGAGGGGCAATACTGGCTTTGTACATCTCATTCCTTCACAGTCCCACATCATACATGATTTTCCTGTGTGACGTTAAGTGCTAAAGACACGGGTAAGTACTTGGCCAATTTATGTCTAGTAGCAAATAATTATATAATGGAAGTTGTAGAGAGTGAAATTGCTGATTCACCAGGGGGAATTTACAGTCTTTCTGTAATTTAGCTTGTTTTCACAACAACCCAAAAGCTATTTGTGCAGGTTCTCTAAAGTCTTCCTACTTCAGAGAGGTGATGGTAAAGATACCTGGTACTTGCCCGCAAACTGATTGCAGGGGAGCGGAAGACTGTAAGCTGATTTTAACTGCTTGTGGTTCACATGTAAGAAGATGAGGGAGATGGTGCTGTGACATAATTTTAGAAAAACCTACAGCTTTGTGCATTAAAAGAAGTAGTCTGATCTATATATGAATAACGACTGTTAGGTTATATGATTAAACTGAAATGAATGCATGCCCCCTACTGGTTTTTTATAATTTCTAGTTTAAAAAAAAATGCAGGTTGTGTGTGTATATATGACAGTAAACGTATTTAGCATGAGTGATAAAGAGAACAATATATTAAATCGGCATAGTACATGTTTTACACAGATAGACTGTTTCCTGGCTTTTCTAATGTTTCTGCGCTGTATCCAAAATTCAGTACTATTTAAGGTGGTTTATTGGTTACTTGATCCTACTTCTAAAGGCCGCATGAATCCATTCTATGCAAGTTTTTCAAAATAATTTCAGCAGAGACATCACCTACTTTTTAGAATTATGACTGCATATGTCACCGAAGAGCCGGGATAAAAACTTATCGACACCAATTTGATGCAGATAAGCAGACACTTCTTTATTGACGACCGGGTGCGCAAGTGAGTGCTCTCACCAACAACGCACACCAGTCACAAGAATCATACAGTTCATATATTATTCAACCATACAGATTCATTAGGTATTCATACATAGACACAAGAATTCCTGGAAATCATTATCATACTTCCCTCCTACTTCTGATTCTGCATACTAAAGCTTAGAAATCTCTAGAAATGAGTCTGGGGTGTAATTCGGGTCGGTGGCCCATGAGTCCATGGTTGCGATCTCCCCCTGCTGGAATTACCTATTACCTAGTTTCACTGTCCTTGGCAGAGAGAGATCTGTAAGCTGTTACAGTTCATTCTCCCCAGTTCTCATTAATTTCAGGTTGTGGTACATCTAAGACCTTATCCAGTGTATTCTAGGTAATTACTTCTGTGTCTAGACATCTCTAACAACTTCAAACAGAACTATTTTCAATTATGAATCTAATTACCTAAGCAGTATCTAGGTGTACCTAGTAAATGATTACTGACCAATTCTTCGGCCTTAGTACAGGGCTATACAAAGGAATTCATAGTAGCATTGGTTTCTGGTTAGATGTGCAAAATGTAAGATAAATGTAAACATGTAACCCTACTAAAATATATCATAATTTTGTATTCATACTGGAATCAAACACTATTAATTCTGATTGGTGGCAAATCAGTGACACATATAGCTTCCCACAGTAGGGAAGTCACCCTTGAAAGTATAGTAACTGGATGGATGCCTTTCATCACTTCTCCCTTTGTGTGACATTTCCAATCAAGTGTTTAAGCATATGCTCAAACCAGTGCAAACTCTTCAGTACATGTAATTAGGTATAAAACTAACCCACATCGTTCAATTTGCATCATGAATTTAAACCCGGCCTGTCTTACAGAGATGGTTGTGTCCAAAATAGAAGTTGGCACTGCTTTGTGTAAGGTGCATTTAAAATCCACTTTTGGTTATTCTAAAATATCTCTATGTCTAGATAAAGCCTCAGTGGAGTTAACATAGAATCAGAGTTTGGGTTGGAAGGGACCTTTAAAGGTCATCTAGTCCAACTCCCCCTGCAATGAGCAGGGACATCTTCAACTAGATCAGGTCCCTCAAGACCCTGTCCAAACTGACTGTGAATGTTTCCAGGGATGAGGCATCTGCCATCTCTCTAGGCAACTTGTGTCAGTGTTTTACCATCCTCAGTGTAAAAAATTTCCTTATACCTAATCTAAATCCATCCTCTTTCAGTTTAAATATGTCACCCCTCGTCCTATCCCTCCCTCCTTTCCTGTAGCCCCTTTCAGCCCTGGGAGGCTGCTCTAAGGTCTCCCCGAAGCCTTCTTTTATCCAGCTGAACACCCCCCACACCCCACACACCCCCAACTCTCAGCCTTTCTTCATAGGATGTTATTGTGCAGGTTTAAGCCTTGCTGGGACCAGGTAGCACGTTGCCTTTGCCCCTCCCCCACCCGCGCGGGTCGGGCTGGAAGTTAGACACAGACCCCGGCTAAAATAACAAGAAATTTAATACAACAGAGTGATAGAACAATCTGAATAACAACAGTATCAATGGTAACAACAATAAACAGCAATAACAGTGAGCAAGACAAACGATAGACAGAGAAATACTGCTAGCTGGTTTACGGAAAGAAAGGTGCCCGCCAAAGAGCAAGGTGAAAAAGCTTCCGCCCCTGGACCTGACGTCAGCATGGTATGAATAACCCGGCTGGAGAACCCTTCCCCCTCTCTCTCTGCTGGGGAAAACTTGACTCTATCCTAGCTGAACCAGGACAGTTATTCTGGACATTCAGACCCGTTATGATAGACTACTTTGCAATTTTGGGAAAACTGAAAGAAGCAGTTAATGATGCTGTGGTATCAGCTCAACCTAAAGAATGAGTCTACCTATGGTATTTTTCATGCACCTAATAAGGAACATGGCAACACATTTAATTTAGTTCTATTCTTATTAATGCTGGTTATTTAGACTTCTCCCCAGAAAACGTAAGATATTTTTCAGACTCTGAGGAATTTGGCCACTTCTTCCTAATGAACCTGGTTCCCATGTCCAGGTACAACTCACCAGGGTGAGGAACTGTTCCTTTGGAAAGTCCCTTAGGAAGGCCTCAGCGTGGGACGTGTGTT